GCTGCACGCCAATTAAACCAATTTGTTCCATGTACAATTGCCGTTCGGTGCCAGGAAAAATGCTGTATGTATATATATATATGAATACGATTATGCAAATCGACAACAAATTATTTAAATGCACACATCGTCACGGCAAATTAACCTTTCGCAGTCGTAATTCCATCCATTATCTAGATTCCAGATGCAGAGCGATAAATACGTACAATATATGATAATAACTATATATAGAAAAAAAAAGAGCTGCAATTATTAACATATTTTATATTTGGCAGCGGAAAAGGAAAGAAATAAATAATAACAAAAAAAAATACAACAACTAAATTATTCCGTTCTCGTTACGCTGAATTATATTGCCAGTCGATGAAGCGTTTTGAATTAATTATGTATGTTATTTAGTTTTAACGACCGGACGATATAATTAGTTGCGGCCTTAATGCGGAATGTATATTTAGAATTTTAAAACGCCTGACGGTTTTTGTAGTAATAAAGGTGGAGGACTTGTTTTCGCGTACGCTTCGCGAAATTAACAGTTTTAACGGTTATAATGAGTAATTTTATTGTTCACATTATGTCCGAGTGTGTGCGCGCTCGTTTCTGTACTTCTGTTGTTTGTCCATTATTTCATTTTCTTTTTTGCTATTTTATCTCAAACAATTAAAATTACGAATTAACCTTTCGTTACCGGGGTCAGCGAATATACAACCGTGATTACTTTAATTAAGATTTCGCAATTGCAACTCTTAATTTGCAGATAGATTGGTATTTGTTCGGTTCGAGCTCACTACTATTCACAAATTATGCGAAGAAATGTAGGCCACACTCTTCTCAGTAGCGTGTTTTATAACATAGCTAAAGTATATTCATAATTTACTTTGAGTAATTCAGGTTTAATTATCCAAAACAATTTAATCACAATTAATTATTTAAAACCAATGAAGCTTTCGAATTACGACACGAGATGGCGTCACAAAATATTATACTTTATTGATAAATTTTAGCTATAAAACTAATTTATAATCATCTTCATTTGATTGTCAATTACTAAAATAAGGGTAATGTTCAATTTCAAGTTGATTATATATTGTTCTTTTTTTGTTAGTTTTCTAGAAACATTGTTATTAACTGAATTTATGTACAGTGTTGAATGTTAATCAATCACATGCGTATAATTGAAACTGTTCAATGGTTTGTTTTTGAACAAAGTATAACGAGTTTAGAATAGTTAATGTTTCTGGGTATTCCAGCAGAATAATCGAAGTTAGAAAAAGATAATAATGGCTTTCCGTTTAGCGGCGGCGGCGGTTTTTTTCGGAATCGGTATTATAATTATACATTGGACAACGTCGTTACATTTTCCTTCTAGCATCTATATTTTTTTTGTTCGTCGTTCGCAATGCTTTTGTAATAATAGAAACGGAGGGGAGTTAAATTATTTTTAATCGCTTCGGAATTAATAGTTTGTAGGAAATTTAAATGGGAGCTGCGACTGTGTTATGCAGATATATACAAGCTATGTGTTTGGTACGTTCCTCGTTTTTTTTTTTGCAGCGTTGTCGTCCCTCGTCGGTCCGCTTTGTTTTATGGAATACACGGTAATATAATTATCGTATTCCTGTAATTGCTTTTAAACGAGTTTTTCAAACTGCTGTCGCCGCGTTTCGCTTCTTTCATTTTGTTATTACAGTTTATAAACGGCACAACGAACGCTACGAAATGCATCGAACGAACGAAGATGGCTGCAACAAATAAATGTAATACGGAATCGATATTGTGCGGGAGATAAGGATTTATCGTGATTTAAAATGCTACTTAGTACAATCTGAACTACAGGATCTCGTGACGAAGAGATACTTGAAGGTATTCATCAAGCATTGTACACGCTACCGTTGTACTCACGACTTTAAGGCAACTCGTATCTGCTTTTACAAAACGAAAATAATATAAATTGTTTCAGTTGATTTTAATGAAAAATTTTAGGAATAACATAACAAATTTAGTTATTTTATCAAGTAATTAATGCACTTTTCTACATTTGCTAGTTGCTGACACGCCATCTATTGGCTAATTTTGTGAAAATATTTTCAACAAAATTTTAATTAAAAGACGAATTAATATGTGAAAATATAAATTCAATCCAATTATTGCTTTCTGCTTTATTTCTTGCAAATATAAATTTAAATTGAACTTTATATTTTTGCAATAAATTTTAAAATGCTACTCGATATAATCTGAACTGCAGAATCTCGTGACGAAGAGATACTTGAAGGTATTCATCAAGTATTGTACACGCTACCGTTGTACTCACGACTTTACGGGTCGACGTATCCGCGTCTACGAAACGAAAATAATATAAATTGTTCTGTTGATTTTAATGAAAAAGTTGGAGCACGCCGGGTTCGTTTCAGGTTTCCCCACCAAAATTCCCCACAAGCGTCTCACTGTTATCGCTTAAATAAATTGCAGCGAGCGGAGGATATTGGCTAATATTTGAGCGTAAAGTTGCGGTGACAGCTGGTGTCCCGCACGACAATACTCACGACTCAAGGCACCGTAGGACAAAGCCATCATTCAGCCAAGATTTTCCCCGTGCCACGTCGACAGTTTGTCGTTCGTTCGCTCGCACAGATTGCACAGTTTTTATTTTTCCGCTCGCGGCGCGGTCGAATTTATTTAATTACATGCGGCTTTCCAATAGAACACCGGGTGGATTTTGCGGAATTGGGGATGGCGGTTGATGCGGGGGTGGCTCACCCGATTTTAATCCGTCAGTTATATCGGGGGCGCCGATAAAGCTCCATCAATTCCGGTTCCGCTGTTCATTTGCGTTTTGTACATGAAATTGTTTAATGTGTTATTTAATGATAGCATTCCGGGGGGTTGGGGGCGACGCCGATTGATTGATTCCAATACTTCATCGTGTTATTGTATTATCAGTTGTAATTAACAATTTCGATGGTTTTCATTAGCATCTGTTTTCCGTTTTCGGGACGAGCGCTTTGCTGCTGCTACTATATGCGGCGCAATTCCAATTGCATTTTAACATAATTGTATTGTTTTGCAAGCACTAATTAAATGACCGTTTGCGAATGCCCTCGCAGCTCGGATATTATATATGTGTATTCCCATATTATTAGTGCGTTTTCGGCGTTCCGAATTATTTTGATTAGGCGCTTTACATTCGACCGCCCCTCGCAAATACACAATGAAAACCGCAACACGGCGGATTAATGGATACGATCATATCTGCAAGCACACAACACGCAACTACTGTTCATGTTTATTTTTTAAATTCCTTTCTCCCTGTTGTTGTTTACTTTTAAGCCATACGACCATAAAAGCGCTAATACCTCTTTCAACTTTTTTAAATTATATTTTCAGAAGTCAATAGTTCAACTTAGTAATTTGTTTATTTTAAATAGTGCAAAAAGTTATTAAACCCTTAATCAATTCTTCAACTTGGCTAGAACTAGTTATGCATATATTTTCTAGTATTATTCGAATAAGTATATTCTATAATTTTTATTAAGGATTTTTTAAGTAATGGTCAGTAATGATGTGATATTTGTTATTCCTTATTAAGCTTATTTTGATTAAGCGCTTTATATTCGTCCATCTAAAATATACAATGAAAACCGCGACCCGGAGGATTAATGGATGCGATAATATCTGCAAGTACACAACATGCCACTACCGTTGTTGTTTTGTTTATCGTTGTTGTTATTTGCTCGTTTTTGGACCTCTCGCCACATAAACGCGCTAATACCCCTTTCAAATTTTCAAACGCAAATATTCATTTGCATATAACTTTTTTTTTCATATTCACCGACCACCCCAATCCACCACCCCTCATCCGCTCCGTTTTTTCCATTTCAGTTGCTGCGAATGCATGTGTTATTTAACACACAATATATTTACTGAATCATTAAATCCATTTCGCGCTCGTCGTTGACGGCACACTTAGTAATCAATAAGCAAACACATCCTATCCATCGCTTCTTCGTATTTTATTTACATTTGCATATGATGTAAACGACGCCAGTCGCCATCAAGCGTTTCATTAACCTTTCCCATTAAGACCTGATCCAAACATATTTATGCTAATTGATCAATTCGTTTGTTTAAGTAAACCGTCCAGCAATAAATGGATCTCTTTATATTTCACTTGTGCTTTTTTTGTTGTTGTTGTTCTTGTTTTGTTGAATTATTGATGAATTGCTTTGGTCGTTCCGCCCCTCAATTTACGGCCGTCATTCTACGGATCGCTAATTTTTACACTTAAGCCCACTTTCAGCACGCACAAAACACACTTCAATCACCATTTCAGGAATCAATTTGTTCTCATTCAGCCTCAATTGGCCGACCAATTCACTGAATTATTTCTGCTCGAGAACATCCATTGCAGAAATTAAAATCATATTTCGCGTTCCACTGATCACGTTTGCACTTATTTACTACATTTGTTGTTCTTTTGTTCATTTATCTTTTGTTTATGAACCACCTACATTTTTTTTTCAAAACCATGTTTTTCCGACATTACATTTCCAAATGATAACTACAATATTCATTGTAACAATTATTCAATTACATAAATAATTACAGACAAAAAGATAAATTATATTCTCTTAATGTGTATTAACCATTAAATAATTATAATTTTATTAAAAATTGTGTAGGCAAAACAAGTTGTATAAATGTGTATTTATACAACCGGCGCTTTATTTATTTTTCTTTAGCGCTTTCAGTGAAATTAATAAAGCAATCAATAGAAGACGCAAAAAAAGAAATGCCTCTCCGCCCTCTGCCTTTCCCGCATCCATTTTTTTTTCAGCAGCCGCCACCACCGCTCTCCCCATCTTCAAAAGCCTCTCCAACCCCTAAGCTCTCTCATGTCTTCTGCAAAACCCCTAGCAGTATACTTTTTTTTTAATCATCCTCTCGCACTCTGACGTCCGAGAGTATTTGCGTTTGATCTTAATTTTAATTAAAAAATGTTTTAGGGCCCGCCGCAACCCGGACAGCCTTTCAAATTCACAGTCGGCGAGTCATGCGACAGGATTAAAGAAGAATTCAACTTCCTCCAAGCACAATACCACAAGTAAGTTCTGGAAAAACGCACCGGCGCCGTCCGTTTTTCATCCTTCATTAATTCACAATTAGAACCCATTATCGGCCGGATCTTTTCACGTTAGAATTTTAATTATTTCGCTTCATTCGCAGGATTATATTAATCTAAACCGGGACATTCGATTATTATTATAACGATATGCATTAATGGATTAAGTCGTACGATTAACCTTGGATTTGCACGATTATTATTATTTTTATATTTGTTTAATGTTTTACCTCACTTTTCTTTCCATTAGAAACCATTGTTGAGCTTGTAATTAACCGTGTCGTGGGATTTTTTGTTTGTTTCTCGCTTCATAACAAGTATTAGTGCGAACAGTTGTAACATTCGTTATTTGATTATTTATAATTTAATTACGGTCACGATACGAACGAGGAGAAACTATAAATCCGTACAGTAAGCAGCTATTATCGCGGCGAGGAGTGCACGATTGCCGTAATAAAAAAATTGCAACATATGCCACACTCTGTATTAAATTAATTTTGAAATATACACTGGCATTGCATTATAATTTGCAAACTGAAAATAATACTGTGCGCATGCACTTTTCCTACGATAATTCCGTTCATACGAGCAACAATTTATTATAATCAAATGAATTGAAATATTCATAATTGAGAAGCATCATTGTTAGTCTTTCCCGTCAATAATAAAGATTGAAACATTGTTTTGTTTGCGCAAATGCTTATTTCTTTTCATTTCAAAAAAACCTAATATGTTATTGTTTCATAAAATGCAGGCAAACGATGCGCATTTCACTATATAACAATTGCTTAACAATTTCAACGTTGTTTCAGTTATTAAAACGAGTTCATAAAAATAAAAACCGACGACTGTAAATTAAATGAGCGATGAATATATTGTGAAAAAATAGTATATATTTTGTTTCCACAAATATATATCTACAGGTATTCACCGATTCACGAATTAGTTTAGTTCCAAAAGGTTGTTCGTAAGTCGGTTTAATTTTAAAAGTTTAAAAAATTCAAAATATACTTATCTTACCACACTGCATAAATTTGAAAAAATAGATTAAAACAAACAAAATACAATTTAATAAAAAAACGACAAAAGAAACAAATGCAACACATCAGATTTTATAAAACAAATTATCAATTTTTGTGTGGATAGTTAATTTTTTATCACTATATATATATTCTTGTAACAAGTTAGAGGGTTAAAAATGTTCGTAAGTTCGATAGTTCGTAAGTCGGGAGATACCTATATTTTTAATCATTTTAACCGCAAATGGATGTATTATGTGCAAGTGTTTCTGTAAAGTTTTCGCATTGCTGCAAATCAGTTTATGATGAGGTTTTAAAGCCGCATTGATACATGCACGCATGCAAGGATCGCTGTTAGCATACGAATATCGTTATGTTTAGATTATGAACAGAATTACCTGGGGATTGGCGGTAATTGCACACCTCACGAGTGATTTAGTTTTCGACTTAAGGATCCAATTGAAAATTAGCGCGAGAAAGTTAATGGCAGTGATTGCGCGGCTCGCGGTGCTTTTCGGTTATAAAACAGCGCCGGCAGTTAAATGGTTACCACCGGTTCGTTTTTCTCTTCTCTTCTTCTACCTCTTGTCGTTCTTGCTCCGCTCTTACTGCTTGCTCCTTTTTTTTCTTTTCGGGTTCTCCTTTCATCCTCCTTAATTTTATTTCATTCTGAAAAGCACTCTGCGCGGCCTCCGGTTAGGTGTAATTTATGCAAAACGTTCCCATAAAAATTACCAGACACTTTAGTATCTTCCGCTGTTTATCCATTTAATTAAATATATAATCATAAATTCTTTTATTATAAGATAATCGAGCCTCGCTCCTCGCCAGGTAATTAAATTCACGTCATGTAGTCGAGGTGAGTTCGCCGATAAAGAAGCCTGATATATTATTTATATGCGGAATTCGAATGGTCGGGCATTATTCATCGACGTCTCGAGTCTATAATCGAACGAGCCTTTCTACTTCTATCCAAGAATTAGATATAAACGATAGATTAACGCAAGCAAAAATTGAAGCGTCGACGTTCCTCAAAAGCCAAGTGTATATTGAAAGCTTCGGCACTTAACCTCCATCCACATCCACAGATATATTCCAATGTATTAATCATATGTTATGTTTCAGTTTGAAATTGGAATGCGAGAAGTTGGCCAGCGAGAAGATAGAAATCCAAAGGCATTACGTAATGGTGAGTATTCTGCAAATTAATTCATAAGCTTTTCGCTCCTAATTGAGCGATTGTGTGTGATTCCTTCGAAATGTGTTTAGCGCAAAACGCTACAAAACGCCGCCTACCGGTTATGTAATTTATGCGTCGCTAAAGCTAATACCAGCAGGTGTGACATTGTAAATTAATTAAACGATTAAATGATACAGGAAAAAAAAAGAAACAGCGTATACATACATATATACAAAACAGAACACAAAACGAGAAGAGAAGAGCGAAGGAAGAATGCGAACGCGAAATAATTTATTAAATTATATATGAAAATAAATGGCTGTGACACGGCAAACACATTATTCCACATCTGTTTTAATGCGGTTTCGAAATAAAATTCCAGTCGTTTTATGTAAATTCGCGGATCCGCCGCCCCCGTCTCTCTTCACCTCTTGCTTATAAATTGCTTGTTACCGCCGCTTCTCCTAAATTTTCTTTTCGTCTTTTTTTTAAAATTATTTTTATACTTTCCTCTTCTCGTTTTGTTTTCTTTTTTTAATTTAATATCATCAGGAGCTTAATTAAATAAAATATCTGTGCGTGGGTTTTGGTTTCCTCCTCGTTTTATTACATTCCTGTCGGAGTGCGCTCTTGCAAATTAATTTATTGAAATTGCTTAATATTTCTTATAAAAAAATCCTCTTTAGGATCAGTGAACTTGCAAATTTATTCAGATATGGATTAATATTGTGATTAAATAGTAACTTAATAGTATTTGTACTACAGTAGTATCTTCGTTATTTTAAACTTATTACATTCAATATTGATAAACAATTATATTTGTACAAGTTATTTAAAAAGCATAAAAATATTACTAAGCTATTAGCAGTTTCAATTACGCATACAATTAACTGGTGATGAGAAATTAATTGACATAGTACAGTGTCTGTCTGAACGAATAAACAAAGACGCGCATCTTAAGATAGTTTTTTATGTAAACTGAGAGTAAATGAATTGTCAGTCTGTATATGAACAAGAGGTTTATCTGATCAAAAGCAGGAATTGTTAAAGTGGAAACTATATATTAAGTAACTTTGAAAGAAATCGTTTAAAATAGTTTCCGTGTATAAATGAAAAGATAATGAGGAAAAAAAGCTTGCAGCTATCTGGACTATTCAATCCAGATAACATCTATCCTGGTATAATTCTTCCGGTTATTTACGGCTTTGATAGTTTATAATCACGCCATTTTCCGTTTCGAATCGCGATTAAAGGAAGAGGGCATCAAAAAGAATCGTGTCTTCCTCCTCCTTTAATTAAATGGAATAGCTTCAAAGTGGACATGGATAAAAAGAAGTGGCAAACGATAACAACAAAATGAATCATTGCTGCATTTTTTTTGCGGATGGAATACCGGGAATCATCATCGTCATCATCATCATCTAAGTCTTCTCGCGGTCGTCGTCGTCATCCCGGCACAATATCGTTCTTCTTATTTTGCGAGCGATAAAAAAATGTTAATAAGTTGGCATTCAGTTCTCGAGAAGCTATTATTATGTTCCGTTTTTGTGCGTGGCGAAGAAGAGAAATAGGAGAGGCTTGAAAAAGAGAGACCACCTATTTCGGAATAAATTCCTCGTAATAAAACCACTTTTTCTGTGGCTATGCTACAGATTCCACGCCATGTCATCGACTAATTTGGTAGAGTCCGGGAGATTATTGCCTTCAAATGAACCGCTCTGGGAGATTATAAACGGGGCCTTTTTATTGATTTAATTTTAACGTGCCAACACATACATTCATACACAGACACACACGCACACACACATGCACTCAACAGCAGCCGACCAGCAGTCATGAAAGGAAACATATATAAACGAAAAGAAAAAAAAGAAACTGAAACTATTACTAACAGTATTTAATCGCCTCTAATGTATTCCGAATATCCATTAGCTGCTTCCCTTTTTATTTATTTATATTTTTTCATCACACACACAACATGCATATAATCACGCAGCCTAACCGATCATTACAACACTTTGGTTATATTACGCACAAACTCGTTATTTACTTTGCTCTCGACCAAACATTTATTATACAATCGGATTTTAATTAAACCGCTCCGAAGATAATCACATTTAAACGCCGGATTCGGCCGGACAAAAATCTTAATTGAAATGCATTTTGATTGGATGCAGCACATGCGTTTCGGATTATCCGATGGGAAACTCGATCAATCTCCGAAGATCGATTCGCTGGAATTTGTCTGTCCCGTTAATTGGATAGAATTCGTTCGAAATAATATAATCAAAGTTGCTCCAAATATTTTGACCGTCTGTTTAATTTTCGATTAATTTATTGCTGTCAATTTGTTTGGATTTGAACATTCCTTTGGAAGATTTAGGAAATGCGTAACTACTTTAAATATTTACTTAAAATTCTTTACGCCATCTATGATGTAAATAGGGAACTAATTTTTTAATACACTACATTTCATTGAGTATTGAGTTAAAGTTTACTTTATTAGTTAAAACTTTATTTTCTAAGTATGCTAATTACGTTATGAAATGTTGTGTAAATATTAGCCAGATATTAATTTCGCGAGATTGAAAGGAATGTTGAATAAATTGATGCGAATTTTAAAGTCAATAATTGGAAATGTTTGACGAGAACAACGGGAAACGGACAACGGCGTTAAAAAAAGGAATAACAACGTGGGGCGAGGGTTTGTTGCATATCGAGGACGAAGGGGTGTGCAGCGAGGCTAAAATAAATGTTTTTTAATTTAAAAAAAGGGTAAATTTTGATGCGTTCCACTCTATACATGCATGTATCCAATGAGGGGTATGTGTATACATTACAAAATAAAAATGGGATTTTCCGGCAGCTGCAGTAGCAACATGTTCAATTACAATCACACATAATTTAATATTCCCTTTTCGCGTTGGCCGCGTATTGTTTTAAACGACGTCGGTTGTTGTTGTAGTTTTTTTTTTCTCTACGCTCGTTTTATTTTTGTCGGTCGTTTTGTTGTTGTTGTTTTTGCAATGGAAATAAATGCATTCAATTAACTGCCGCGATTCCGCGGAACGGCGGGGTATAAATAAAAATTTACGGCGGCGCCATTTTATGATGTTTTCACTAGATTTATATTGATATTCGCATGTGCACACCGACACGGCCATCCATAAATATAATCCATACATTTGAACGGTAATTAATTGCAATCAAATGCGAAACACGCCGAGCGGATCCAGTTTTATAATCAAAATATTGTACGTGCCCATTTGTGTGTGGGCATTTAGAAAATGTTATATGGAAAACGGAATGGCCGTTTGGAAATTTTAATTAGATGTATCCATGGCGGAGCGTGCTGAAAGTTGATTCGGCCGAGCGTTGATTGATTTTACTAATGCAAGTGAAATGAGCATTTTATCGTCTGTAATTTAAATTTATTAATTAATCCGTTCGCGGTTACTAAATTATTTTGCATGTGTGTTAATTTGCCGTTTGCTCGCAAATGACGGCCTCTGCATCATTACCACACACACACACACCCATTAACACTCACACACACGAATTTGTATACATATATATTTACAAACCGACACAAACATTACAATTTAATTATTATCTTCTTTCCATATGTGCATGGTATACCACAAGTAATTACACTTGGGCCTTTCTTATAAATACACATCATTAGATAATTCTTCACAGATGATAGACATTCTCATATTATTTTTTGTAATTAATTATAGAAATTAATTAATTGAAAGATGAAACATTTAAGAAACGTACAAAAACGTTATTCAACTAATCTGGTTTGCTTCAAAAATCTAGAATTAAATGACACATTCAATTATGTTTAATTAATTAAAACGAATCAATTACAACTAATTTGCAACATGCAACAATCGCAAATTAAGAATGAAAAAAATATATCAATTATCAAATTTTACTTAATTAATACTAACAAATGTTTGTATATTTTTGTACTTTTACAAAAATCATCAGTCCAAATGGAAACTGTACAGTCATCCTGCTATACAGGAACCAATAAAACGCGTGAATCAGCCTGCATCCTGATGCATAATTAATCTGTTTATTTTCTATTATGAGCCGCACAAATAAACACAGGAAGATTGGCCGGCGTGTTTATTAGGTTTCATAAATACTTCGCATTCGTGTTTATACACTTTTCTCCCGCTTTATTGTTTCCTGTTAACATAAATCAAGTAATTTCCGTTGCTAAGAAAAAGAAAATAATTAAAAATAAATAAAGTGAAAGAAAAATGCACATATTTGTAAAACATACGTGAAGCCGCTTCCATACTATTCTTTTTAATGGGAACTGGTCGATCGAACGAATGCATTCAGGCTTGGGAAAACAAATTCGTGGAAAGCAATTAACCGGACTCGATCCATTAATTATGTAATTAAATTTATTCGCCATATCTGCCGTTAATCAAAACCATTCATGAATCTACATTCGATTACGTCGAAGAAATCTCACGTTCGGAAGTTCCCAATTACTATTAAAGTATTCACTGTATTAATTAACGCTTCGTTTCAAAACATAATTTGTTACGGTTTGGAATCTTCGCATTATTATTATTTACTGCTACACAATTTACTCGCACTTTATTCAGTTGGTAGATAATATATTTATAATGTAGTAAGAAGGTGTAATTGCTTTTCAAAACTAGAATGTCGCCATCTGTTACGTAAATCTGAGAATAGTTATGTATATATAAATTAATATTTCTTAAACTGGTTCTTTTGACATCTGATGAACTTAAAAATTAAATTATCAAAAATGAAGAAAACAAGAAAAATATAATGAATATAATGAAATGTATACAACTTTATGCTATAAACAATAACGTGAAATTATTTTTAAAGAAAAGACATTCTAAAACCTATTTTCCCTATGGCATACAATTATAGGGAGCGGCTAACAAGTCGAACATAGATATTATCCAATTGTTCCAGTTGAAAAGCCTAAGAAAATGCTACATTGAACATGTAATCTCCAAAGCTATCGAAAGAAAACATGAAACGAATATTTAGAAAGGACATTTACGGACGCAATAATACAGATTATAAAAAACGCAAACAAAATGATTGGAAAAAGCGAAAGAGCAAAAAAAAACCTGAATGCATAGCCGAAAACGCATTAATAATTCGGTTCGAACGAAATTGATTTGGACAAAAAATAAACACGCTCCGAATTAAAACTTCATTAAATTTAAATTAAAAATAATTCAAATATTCATGATTATATTAATTCCGGCCCCGGGTTTTGCCGCCCCCGCAGAATATACATATAGCTTTTTTTGCGTGCGTTTCGTACGCTGCCTCACCCCCCCGACAATGTGCATACACAGTTTTTTTTTTTTCATCCCCCGTAGCTCTCAACTATGGGCAAACAAATTGTGTACATTATGAGAGCACGTTTTCAATTTAGTTCTGTATATTTTGCAATTAATTTAAACATTTTGTTTAGCGATTGGCCATTTTCGCGTTTAATTTTACATACGCGAACGGAATGGATATTTTTATTTATTACTTTCGACGAATAATTTATTCATCAACATTTTCAACTATGCACATTTCATGTAATCCTTGTTATACGTGGAAAAAAATGTTTTTTTTTACTAAGCTACACTTTTCTAGTAATTTTCCTCATTACATGATACTTTCCAAGTATCTAAATCATTGAAACTAACAAGTACTTATATGGGGGATATTATAGGTATTAGTTTAACCAATATCGATTAAAGAGCAGCAAAGTTAACAGTAACTTTTAACGTGCGGTTTTGTGCTTGATGATGATGTGGTATTAAATCGCAAACGCTTGCGACGTGTGTTTTCCATAATGTAATTAAATTGTGACCTTTTTCGCGTTCCACCGTTGCGAGAAATAAAAAAAATAAAGGAGCAGTAATTGCGGACCATTAAATGGATAAATGGTACTCTCCTGTTCATTTCGCGTGTGCGTATTTTTTTTATTGTTAAATTCATCGCAATGAGAGAGTCTGCCTTTAACGGCAATAATAATGGTAAAAGTTGATGAGTGTGCATTTCATCAGACGATAATTATTAATTCGTTACCGCTGCTAAGATTGTGGATCTATGTAGTAATAATAATAATAAGTAATTATTAATATATCATTATGGGGGCCCGTCGAGATGGTATCGCTGGGTCTCAGACTCGCACACAATTATTAATTATTTAACTTTTTTTTCTTTCTGTTTCAGTATTACGAAATGTCCTATGGATTAAACGTGGAAATGCACAAACAGGTGAGTCCCTCTTCATTATATAAGTTTCTCCTCCTTAATTCTCTTCTGTTTTTTTTGTTGTTGTTGCTGCTGTCGTTTCGTGGGTTGTGGCTGTTGTCATGATTATTAAAACAATTTTTTTTCGGGCCCACCCTTCGGGTTTAATCTCCGCTTGTTTATACAATCTCTGTCCGCACGCAGACGACGACACCCGACGCACCCCTCGTTACGAATTCAACCCCTGTGCGCGCCTCGAAAGAACGTTAATTATAAATTACAATATTTTTTTTCCAACTCTCCCCCTCGTCCGATTTGCATATTTAACACGTGGAAGCTAAAGTGGAAAGGAAGCGAAACGCATACATTTATTCCTTCCCCGTATTTTCCAATTTCTTTCGCGGGGAAAAACGACAAATTGGGGATTTTCGAGCGAAATATTTGGTGCGGAACGCGCGCTCCAAACACCCCCGCTCTATGCTTTCGCACCCTCCCGTTTCTCGAAGCGAACACACATTAAACATAACGCTTATATGAGCGCAAACAATGTTCCACGTGTTCCATACCACCGCTGGCAATTAACACACCCTTGACGCCTTCCCTGCGATCGAACCCTCACGCTCTCGTACACACAAGTAGCCCTTATTTGCCGGGCTGCCCCCGGGGGCAGGTGGCAGAACCCGCCGACATTTATTTTCATAATGGAATTGAAACGCGACCAAATCAACCGGATATTACATAAACACTCCTTTCGAAGGTCCGCATTCTTTTTTTTTAATTGTCTGCTTCTAGTACACCATAGACCTACTCACCGATTCACTCCATTGATCGGATAAATGGCTTTCTCATGCGAAAGCAAATTGCCACCTACTAATTCGGATTTAACATCCTATGTTATATAGAACCGTTCCTTTGCGCGGTTCAAACCCATTAATATCTGATGGAGTGGTTAGTCACGGCTAAAGTATCCAACTAATCTTTGGAAATACTCCTACAAATATCTGAATATTATATTACCATAATACCCGATTTTTACTACAATACACTGATTACATAACGGTTTGTCAATTTGTATCATTATAGAGTTGCAACATTATGTTTAATAAATCCACAAATACTAACATTTTGTGTTACTATTTATAAAGTAAGTGAAAAATGAATCTACAACCATTATATTATAATCCAACATTTAATTTGATTAAGTATTTATAAATGGTTGTTAGATACACTAGAAAAAAAGAACATTATAAGGGATGGAGGCAATCCTTTTTGCTACTGTATTTTTTTATTCGGGCTATGGGGTACAGTATAATAACAAGTTCGATGTTTAACAAACGGATGTGTATTCCCAAAGCCGGGGAACGCCAAGTGCACTATAATCGAACGGCCTCGGGGAGATTCCCAGGGAACTTTTACCTGATCCACTATGCCGCACCATTCGGCATACATAAAGCAGATACACACACATATATATACATCCCACACAAACAGACTGTGCAACCCCTAGCGCCGAAAACTCCTCAATGATTCATATTCATATCTCTTTTCGAGTGGTCGGTCGGAGGGCTAAGGGGGCGCATTAATAATACACACTTTGAATACAATTTATATACACGCCGCATGCCGCGTTTCGGTTCTCATGAAATTGATTTACACTGTATAATTAATAAGTTGATCCCATTCAGCATATTAAATTACAACCCCTGCAAACGCTTCTCGTCTTCGAAACGTGTGCGTATAATTTCACTAATAATTAATCCCGTTGTATTACATAACACGCATTCGATTTTTTTAAGAAGCAAGATTTTTACTGGTATCATTTTAAAAATTGACAATTAAACAAGTCAAGAGTTTGCGACTAATTAAATATTTGATTTGGAGAAACGCCAAGCACGAACTTTGGTAAACATACCATTCCTGCATGTTTATTTGTAGACTGACTACTTAAATATATTTAGTTTTTCTCGAATATTTAGATAGTAAAAATAATCTTCAACAGAGAATATATTTTAAATCTAGGTAGTAAAGTAAATACAGATTTTTTGTTTATTAAATCAAAGGTTTCTTTTTTTTTAGATGTCAATTTACTATGAAAAATCTATTAAAATTTTTTACACTTTTTTAAATTACTAAAATGTATTTTAATTTAATATAATTAAAAGTAAAAAATAATAATTTGTCGTAATTAAAATTTGAAATATTGTTAATCAAGTGATAATAAGCTTAATATAATTAAAACTAACCATAGTTTACAACTTAAATTTAGGGTTATAATGACAGGTCGTATTGTAAGAGTGTAATAAGGGTATAATGAATACTATTAGGAAATGATCTATTAGTGGATGAGGTAGTAATTTGAAAGGATTTGGGAGCAAAAATGGAGTGCGGTGTGAAAGGAATGACGGGTTTCGGGGTGGTAGGAGAACGGATGGTTTGGGGGAAAGGCGGTGCACGGATGGATGGTTGGAAGGAAGGGAGGGTTCCGTTCAGGATTAACGAGGGCCGTATTAGCCTGGCAGTAAGAATTCCAGGATATTAGTCAGTTGGAAGAGATAATTGTTTTAATTTGCAATTAGTGATCGCGAGACGCGCCACATTGGATGTCGGGATTAGCGAGGGAGCGTCGCTGCGACCTCATTAAACGGCGCTGCTGGTGTAGCGTGAGGATGTGTCATTACAGTTGGGTTTTACTAGGTATTAAGTTCGCGTATTTGCCTTCTCGTATGCTACTTGCATATTATACATGATGGATTTAATGGATCTTCGCCGGCGTTTCTACGTTTCTCAGGTTATATACTCCGCTGCATACGATATGCATACATGTCACGTTCCCATATTACATTCCGGATGATGCCATCCTACGGGAATTTATTCATCTCAACGACAATATTCCTCCGCCACAGATTATATTCTATACTGCATCCTCCTCGTCCACCTCATCCTCTTCATTCTCATCCACCTCACCTCCTTATCCACCTCCTCTTGTCTGTATGCATGCATTACTTCCATTCTACTTCTCCCGTGATGTCTCTTACTTTCTCCCCCTCTAGGCATTATTTTGCATGATGAATTACAATTACCGGCAGCCCCCAGGAACAATTCGCGTGCGCGATAAGGTTTTTGCGAATTTAGATTAAATCATATACAAATCGGCCCCCGCTGTACACGCGTATTCTTCGCCGTCGTCGGCGTATGCAAATGAAGAAAAGGACCCCCCTCGCATTCAAGTTCCTTCCCTTTCCACCCATTCCTTTCTGCCCTCAGGCGAGATACCATCGGCCACACGTAAAAGTAAACAGTGAGAATAAATATTCAATTTGCGTGATGTAATTCGTGTCTCTGCGACCCCTACATCGTAATAAAGTAGTTTCTTACGTGCCGTATAATAGCGGCCACTTGTGATATCGCGCACACACCACACGAACCACACACACACCCACAACCACTCAGCAATGGTTCTCGCACTCAGCCAAAACACCCTGCTCTATTATTAATGTTAATATTAATTAAGCTATTTACCATTCCGAAATTAACGTACAACTCATCCCAACATAAATGAAGAAACCATTAGTCAAATTTAATCTATCCATTCTATTTCATTTATATAACAGGTTTAACTAGAATTGAATGAAAATAATTTTATAGGGACAATACTTTTTTTTATATTAATCAAGAACATTATGTTGTTTGGCTATTTTTTATAAGGAGAAAAGCCTAATATATTTTAAACAAATTGATTTAGTCAAAGATAATCTAAGAACGACAATACGTACAGTAGAGTTGGTGTAATAAAATAAAAATGGGAATCAAAGTGGTTGTCGGTTTTTATCTCCGGTTTCGAATTTATTGAATTGGAAATCAGAGAAGGCTGGTCAAACAGGCAGGGACTCTGTGTTTGCCGTATGTGTGTGTAATATATTTTTCCGAGGGGCGACGGAAATTTCAGTTGGTTTTGTGATGGTCTCGAAGTGGGATGGGGTGGGGGGATCGAGGGCGAGCGCGTTGTTGGAGTTGTTTGTAGATAAACGAGCCACATTTTCATCACAGATAATACGGGAAGTAAACACGGGACTGTTAGTTTTGTTAGTTCAGCAACTCAAATAATTTACCCAATAGAACTGCAGCCGGTAGTTTGTACAGGGTTGTAGGGACGGGACGAGGGCGAGAAACTCGATGTGTACCGACCACGGAGTGTCAATATTTACCCATATATAGAATGACGACTGTTATTAGGGAGCGACGCTCCCCCAGTTTAGAAATTTACAATTATATTACAATCCCTGCACTCAGAAAGGACTGGCTGACATTGCTTGCTCGTCCTTGCAATCGAATGGATACGAGAATAAAGGCGGCTTGCATCTTTCCGGAGACAAGGTCTGATAAGCTCTGATCAAACATGGATCGGTCGATTCGAATCGGAGCAATTATCGTTTTTAAAATATGAAATATATATTCGAGCCAAATTGGAACCGAGCGCAGCGTTACGTTTCAGTGGCTAATCTGCGGTTTCGATGGGATTAAGTTCAATATTAGCTGAAGCAATAGCTGTAACCTAGGAGACCGCACATTCCAATCGGTCTCTCTGATTTAGATCGGCCTCTTTGTTTACTTACTCGGTATCTATTTGGATAAGCAAACCTCCCGAACAACGAACCGCCTACCACCATCCTTTTTTCCACCCTTCAATTTACATAAACAAACGAGTCTGCTTCGAACGAAACAAAAAATATAAAAGAATAAGCTACGATAACAAGTTTCTATCCATAATATTTTCACGCCACACAATTCCATTTAAGATAATTAAAATGAATTACTGCCGCGCACTATATACGAATTGCGATATACACGTGTGCGTGTTTGCAGACAGTTGGGATTTGACGGCTTACATTTCAGCTTGAAAATTTAATTACCAACACATTTTCTAATTACATTCCAAGTTTTTTTTACAATCCATGCATGACTCACCTGCAAATCTAAGTGTATTTAAAAAGAAATACAAAAGATTAATAATATTCAATTAAATT